CATTGCTAATGTCATATCTGAATTGAGAATAGATATATATATATATATATATATATATATATATATATATACACACACACACACACACACACACACACACACACACAATATCCATTTCCTTCTTTGTGAATAATTGATTTTGATTTATTCAAAATTTCTTGAATTAGTAAAAAAATTGAATCTTGAAAGATGTATCCACGTACCCGTATCTGAAAGGTGGACTTTTTTTAACCATGTCCCCGTATCCTATATTTTAGAAAATAAAATATCCAATACCTAGATATGCACATACCCGATACCCGTACCCAAGTCTGAGCATCATAGATTAATATTGATTGTTTGACTTTGACTCAGATTAAAATCTGAGCCAAACAGGGCATGGTGTTCTTGCTAATTTGAGATGAAAATGATGCTTTGCAACAGGAGGTTACAAGTTTTATTGTCATTTATAATTATAATCAAATATTTTGTCATTGTATAAAGTTTACTCAAGGAGGGCTGTAGATAAACAAAAGATATAGAAATTTTGAAACTTTAGTTTGAGTAGAAAAATGATTTTTGATTGATTTTGTTTCCTTACAGTACACAACCTTCATAATGATGATATAGCTAATAGAGTTGCTGGATAATCAAGCCTAGTCTATATTTTTGGGGATTCTAGATTTATGTGTCTGAAATTACCGGTCTAATATGGTCTCTTTAGCATGGAAACTACAATAAGGGTAGCGTGTTCGTGTCCATATCGACACTCCTTAGAAACTCTGTTATGATCAAGTTTTCCTTTATAAAAAATATTATATATTTTTAACTCAAAAATTATTATTCAATAACAAATATTTACTCATATTTAAAAGATTTTGACAAAAAATTAATAGCAAATATAAAACTTAATTCTATATAAATGAAGAATTTTAAAAAATTTAATCAACACATCGTGTCAGTGCTTTTTTGAAAAATTGTCTGTCGGCGTATTCGACGCTTGTTGTATTAGACATACTTGTTTGCGTCGGTACTTCAATGATGTCAGGTTTTGCAAGTCCATAGGTCTTTGTTGCTTCTCATGGCTAGTTATTGGCAGTTGTTGCAGTTTTCTAGAGCTTTTATATTTATTCACATGGTTTTCTAACTTAGGCATACTGATACTCCAAAATCTGTTCAACTCCAGTTTCTTCTGAGGAAAATGTGGAGGAGAAAATCTTTGAAATTGGAAGCGAAAACATTATGAATTCTGTTAATGAGACTTGAAGATAGATATTCTGGTTGTTTATTTTCCAGTTTGCGGAGAACTGTTTAAATTAAATATTGATTCCTAATTTAAGAAATGACACCCATAATTTCTTGATTTGGCGTCTCCATATTAAGCCCTTGTTTGGGCTCCATTATTTCCAAAATACATATTTCCAAAATTCATTTTCAATCACACATTTTTCAATAAAATAATATTACACATAAACCCGGAAATTTCTCCTTATCTTTTAACTTACATTCTCCAAAAAATCACTATTTCAAAATACATTTTCTTCCAAAATCGCATTAATATGGAGCCAAACCGTGGCTGACATAACCATGAAAACAAATCTACTGCTTTGACTCTTCAATTCTTGAACTTCCAAAAGTAATTGAAAAATTAATAATTTCTTTCTAATAAACTAAGATCCTGTTAGTCCCCATTTCTTAAAACTCAATTTTCCCAAAATCATTTCAATCACATATTTCATGGTATCCACAACTTCTATCAACTTTTCAACCACACATATCACCAACTTTTATAGAAATCTACCAAAATTTTATTTTTATCAGAACAAAACAGGGGCTATATCTTATTTCACTCTTTCACTTACATCGATTAATTCCTTTCTACATCATTACCTTCTCCATGTAAGAAACTAGCTCGAGTTTGCTTACTGGTGACTGTTGGGAATCTACTTATACATGCACAGCGGAATTTAAAATATATTTCGATTCCCATCCAATAGATCTCATTGTGTTTGGTTAGGAATTGTGATAGGATTGTACCTTTTCCAGATCTGCAATCCTTTTGCTTTTCTTTTCGTTCCACAACTTTGATTCGCCACCACAGCTGTCCAATTGTCCAGCCTCCAACGGTGATCCACACAGAGAATATGATTGCAGCCTCTAGGGTTTTCTCTTGTGCTAGCAAGAATAATGAAAACCTTAATGGACCTCAAACCCTAGTTATGTATTTATATAAACCCAAATAGGCTCGGCCCGGTCCGGCCCAATAATTAATTAATCCAATTAATTAAACCCGGTCCGTGAATTAATTAATCCAATTAATTAATTCGAAAATATAAATAACAAATCCAATTAATTAATTTATCCAACGATTGTTAAATTAATCAATTGGCAATTTGCAATCTTCCAATTCTCTTTTGTGTGTGACCCATTAGGTTCCCGACCACGATGCCTAACGACGTGAAATATTATTTTGATCTAATCAAAATTGATAAATTAAAACACCCCTTTTAATTTATCGTCAATTCACATTCGCCGTCCCTGATTGACATCTAGCAATGTGTCAGGGCAATACATGTGACGGGAAATGTCACGTGGTATGACAAAACCAAATTCGTTCGTTTACCGTGAAACTATAATCCCTTCGTCAATATGATCCGATCAATTACGAGATATGGAATTGTGTCAATCTCGATCATCGATCATATCTTTCACTCCACTATTAAGTCAATATAAATCGAAAACTCCTTTTCGACTCATGAGTACACCTTGGCCAAGGATTTCATCATTGACTTAATTGAATGAAACGCAGATCATAATCTCCTACTATCTAAGAGTGAAGAATCCTTTATTGATCAATCACAACCTTCATACGATTCTTGACGTACCCGAACGATGTCGTATTAGCGGCCCTTTTCAGAGCAACATCCAACACCGCCAAAGTATGACTGTCCTCATATAAGGTACTATGACGACCTCAAGTCAAAGGACCAATTTCACTACCGAACGTTAGAGATTAACCACCGACACTCAGATAGTTATCCATGTGGAATCTCTCGACGGGTCTCCAATGTTTTGTTCTATAACAAACATCCACGTGTTCA